GACTAGAAAAGATCTGCTATGAATTTGGTGACCAGGCCAAGAGGAGACATCGTTACTCTTGTCGTGCCTTTCAGTTTGTTTTATTTCATGGGCATCTGGGTCCTGGGCAGAGAGTGAGGAAGACTGTGCTGAATGGACCTAAAGCAGTTGCTTGGTTTCTCCTACAGCAGAGGGCATTGGGAAGCAACGGGAAGGCTTAAAGAGATGGTTCTGTCCTTGGTAATATGAGAATGACATCATTTTATTTTAAAAATAAAACTGAATTCAAAGTCCATAGAGTTTTAAAAAACTATTTGCCAGGCTAAGTACATTCTATGTATTCATAGTAATAACCTGTGTAGAGGTGGCTGTACATAACTTGAATTTACTTTCTTTGCACAAATGATTGACATAATAGGTTGCAAGTGCAGCTTCAAGGTTTTCTGTTTTTTTTTTTTTAAATAACAAGTTGTTTAGAGGAGCAGACTTTTACAGTCTGAAAAGGAATGTGTGTTTATGACGTTTTTTTTTTAAAATAACAAGTTGTTTAGAGGAGCAGACTTTTACAGTCTGAAAAGGAATGTGTGTTTATGACTCTAAATAGTCACCAAATAAAACTTCGCAAGAAACAGAAATATCTCCTCTCTTATTTCACCAGGACTAATGCACTGGGGGCATTGTGTTGTACTGAAGGATAAGGCTTAACATTTTTCCAGGAGAAAAAGGAAAAAAGAACAAAGAGCATAAAAGGTCATCTAATTCATTCCCCTCCCATTTTAGGAAGGACTCCCACAAATTGTCCTGCACGGATAAATCCTCATCTAAGTACTGTTTAAGTCCACCAAGAAGGGAGATGTGAACACCTTTTATTTCAACTTTTATTGTTACAAAAAGCTTGTATCTAAAGCAAACTCCTTAGGCTGTATTTATAATCTGTGTCTTCCAACTTTCTCCTCAGCGAGTCATCATTTAAAGAAAACAAAAACTTTAAAAAGCTATCTGTGCCCAAAAAGGCAGCCCTTAATAAAACTACATTTTGTCTATTTTTTTTATTTACATTGTCCTCTGAGTATCCTGCTGCCCAGCCTGCCCCTGTCCCCAACATTCCTCCTTAATTCTTGTCTTTCTTAACAAAAGCTTTATTAAAGTATAATTTACATACCATAAAGTTTACCCTTTAAAAGTGTACCATTCAGTGATTTTTAGTATATTCGTAGAATTGTGTGACCATCACCACTATCAAATTCCAAAACCCCATAGCCACTAACAGTCATTTCCCATTCCCCCTCCTCCAACCCCTGGCAATCCCTA